CATTAATTTCTGTAAAACAAGTATACATATCACTTCAAAATAGTATTTGCTACTCATCTTTCTAATACAGCAGCTTTGTACTCAAGGAGGCTGACTGGATTCTAAACAAGAAATTTTAATAAAAAGGATCAGTCTTGAAGAGCTTCCCAATATTAAACGGTTTCATAAATATTTTCTAAATACTTACTAAATAGAAATTTCACAAAGTTTCAAAGACTTAAGGAAACATTTAAGATAATTAACATGACCATACTAACCCCTTTCAGATGGTGCCTCAGCATGAGCAAGCGGATTAAATTTAGATATTTGAATATGAATAGACTCTAGGAAGAAACACTTTCTCTGGTATTCTTCTAGACTATTTATAACCTACATGGATATAGGCTATCTAAATAAGAAAGTGAACTTGAAGCATCTGTGTTTGCCTTCCAACAGCTAATACAGAGTTTGGGAAAGGAGTGAAAGAAAAAGAGAATCCAATTAATAAAATAATCTGAAATAATTTTATGCAAAAGCCTAGAAATAGGTCTTTTAAAGAGATTCAGTGAAAAAAACTTGTGTTTCTTCTGTGAGTAAAACTCAAGCCCTAACAGTAGATGTGCAAGAAAAAGTCATAAAATCAGCATCTTCATGAAATGTTGGGGTAATAAGCAAATGGGGAGGTCAGATCTACTATAACTACATTAAGATCCCCAAAACAAAGGGATTTTCCAAGTGGAGGGGAGGGAAACATGAGACACACAGATAAAGCGATCCATAATCCTGTGGGGAGGCTGGGGGGTGGAAGAAAGAGGTATCTTAAATAACAGTAACAAGAGTAACAATGTAATAAATAAAATTATCAAATAACTTCTTTGCTGAATATTCCGTAAAATGACCAATTTAATCTGCCATCGAAAGAGTGCTCATCTGTCGAGGCACCTGGTTAATGACATCATCAACAGATACCTTCACTATTCCTAGATACAGAAGACACTGCCTCATTCCTTTTTACCTATTTGAAATGAATTGTTGCACCGGTTCTGTCCATTGTCACTTGTCTAGACTCATCTTTGACAAGGAAGCAGAAATGTGACTCGGGACACATAATAGACACACATTTTTCATATGCTACGCACTGGCAGATTACGGATTTCTGTGACCAAATAACAAGCTGTCATCTAACAAAATTGTTTGGATGGCATCTGAAATATGACTAAAAATGCTCAAAAGCATGTTACACATTTTTAAATTTTGTTAAGTATTGCACACTTACTGAACATAGAAGAAAGAAGGAAGACATGATCAGGACTCGATAGATAAACTAGATTACAGGTTTACAAAACTTTAGATAGCAATCAGAGAAGAAGGTGCTATCTGCACATTTCACACCATGTCACATGTGAGGCAAGTTATCCCCACTTCTGCCAGGGGTCAGTTTATTGCAGCTGAGTGTGCACACTTGTCAGAGTCACTTCATATGCTTGGAATCAATACTCTAGTTTACTTCCTGCACTACTTTGTACTTGACAATACAATAAAGACATTTAAAAAACATATTAATTGTAATATATATTGCAATTTATATTACAATCAATCTATTACTCTATACAATATGTAATAAAGATATAAATTGCAATTAATCTCTAACTCTTTATGACAACAGAAGTGCTCACTTTTGGTCACTGTCATAAACTATTTAAGAAACAGTGGATTCATTAAGAAACATTGCATTTCATTTCTATTCGTAAAACATCTGAGTAAACTTAGCTCCCCTACTTTAGAAGCATAAAAATTATAAAAATATTATATGACAGAATGAAATGTTTTAACATACTGAAGATGCATACCCTCATAGCACCTGTGGAACAGGCTGCAACTGCTAAGTAATTCAACATTTCACTGAGGATACACCTGCCAATGCAGCCATTTCCACTAATTCAATAGTCAGACTAGATTTTTGGCAGCAAATGTATACAGCTTAATAGTTTTATTTAGTTTACTTATGCAGAAGACAATAGAGACTACACCTATTCACGTTTGCCCATTTTATATTTAGAGAAGTTCTTCAGTGCCAGCTTCTAAATAAATTCTGACATTTAAAAAAATATTTTTACTTCTTAATGAAAGCAGTAAAATTGATTTTTATTCAGTTCTGCTCAGTTCTCCCCACTACAAGAGGAAACGGGTTTAATTGAATATCTATTTTTGTAACTATTTTGGCCATCCCACAGAAGAACCATAGATCCACACCCCATCTTGCCACACGCCTATATGTTTATGTGCTTTTACCTTTCAGTGGTGCTCACCTTTTATAAACTATGTTAGCCTACGAGCTAATAAAAATGCCAAGTTAGGACTGCTGAGTATCCTACATAAATACAATACAATTCCAAAATACACAATCAAGGAAAAATAGTTATCGTTGTTTTAGTTAGAATGAAGAGATTCTAGTAACAGACTGAACACCTTTTATTAACAGATGAGCAGACTGCAACAGAATTTAAAAACAAACAAACAAAACAACTTCAAGACAGTTAACGTATCTGTCAACACAGTAGTTTCAGATCTGGTAAAACAGAATTTTCCAGCTAGCAGCTTTGCGTCTTTACTGTTAAACTTCACATTCATAAACAGTTATGTGGAAGGACATTAAAGAAAAAAATGGAAAAAACCCACTTCTACTCACTAAAATCAATACCTTTCTGAGGAGGGAAGAAATTAAAATCTGTGGTTATACAATTATGCAAAAATGAAAAAATGGCTGAATGAGCGTTGTTTAAATTTATTTAGATATTAACAATCTAAGCTAGTTGACAACTTCTAAAGAATTTATATAAAACTTAGTTTTAAAATTAACAGAAATTTTGTATTAACAAAAATGAACCTTCTGCATGACACTGATCTATCAACACATAGGAATATGTTCAGCAGTAAAACTGAAAGTTCATTGTTCAGATGAACACTGAATTCTATTTGATGGTACCCATTAGAAGTTACCCTGTGGGGAGCTCTTAAAGCTATGATTCACTTATCTTCCATTTGTTTTAAGGATGTTTCACTGTACCCTGAAATACTGGTTTATATTTCACCCATTTGTGTTCGTAACTTCTTTCTGAGGTAAAAGTTACAGCTGAATTTTCTCCATTAGTTCTTTGCCTAAAACGTGCATGGAAAGGGTCAGCTATAGCAAGCTTTAAAAGATGACCAAGTGCTTCTATATTCCACAAGACGGACATCCCTGAGAATATTCATGTACTCAACAGAGAATGGGAACAGGTATTCTAAAACATTTTTTCTACAGGCTTATTTCCTGATGACTTGTCAGATGAACAATACATCAAGACATTAAAATGATGCAAGAATGACATCTGAATTTGGAAAAAGCCACTAGAAAGGGGAGTTACATAAAAACTAGCACGTTGCCATGAAAGCCAGCATCCACTTTTCAACAAGTTGTGCTTTTGAGGGAAGTGCCCGAAAAGAATACCTCTTCAGTAAGCTTGGCTTACTGGGCAATAGTTAATTCTAGCTTTCTGCTAAGAATTTAAAACTCTGAGAGCCAGGGGAAAAAAAGTATCCTATAGGGCATCTCTGAAGATTGGTCAGAAACATTTCTTTCTTTATTTTGCTTCACTTACTTTGGGGGAGGAGGTGGTAGGGGGGAGGAAAATGTTAAAGCCATAAATATTTTCTAAGCCATTCTTTCTAAAGTTAAAAATACAGAGTGTGAAAACAAGTGCTTTGCAAAGATGACTTTGCAATGTGAAGAACACTATATTTCGTCATTAACTTTTAGGATTTATGCTTTGCCTTTTTCAAAATAAAGCATATATGTGGAGAATCCTACCCTACATTTTTCCCGTCCTGCCCCGCCCCCCTCCTCCTCCCCAACTCTAAGACAGAAGAATTGCTTCATCCACTACATCCCTGAAGAACCAATCTTAAGCATTGCCTGTGGACAGAATGATACTATTTTAATCAAAGTTATTTTAAAATCAATACAGACCAGCATGGAAGCACTAACATTTAAACCTATAATATGGCTTTTATATGGATAATTGTGCTTAACAGATATTAATCTAATGTACCCTTCTAATGCCTGCAGCTCCTTCCTCCCAGTACCTCCCTACCACTTATTTTTAAAACCTAGTAGAGCAAGAAGAAGGTTCAGGAATCAAATGGATAACTTGAGCTGAGTAACCACAGTATCTGTCCATTCAGCAGCAATGCTTCTTAAGGAGTTCTCATTTCCACTCCACTCACTGCACTGTGCTGGCAAAGTGATTCCGGAAGCTATATGGTTGGAAAGATCACAGAACTGCTCCATCTAAAAAGTAACAGTATGGGAAGGAGGGTGAACTTTTCCCGCAACTGAACTAATTCCCTCTTCTGAGCCTCCACAAATCATCCTGCCGGCACATGACAGGACTACAAAAGGAAAAGAGCTAGTTAACTCAGCACCATGATGGTGGAAATACCCTTGGAACTACAGCCCAGAAATCAATTCTTTCTGGATGATTTTCAGTATGGCATGCAAATTTATTTTCTCCATTCTATTTCTAGAATTCTATCAGCCCAAAGAAGCAAGTAAAACCAAAAGCAAATAAACTCCCCACCTCTTTCATGGTCTCACAGTTTTATAAAATCATGTGAGTCAGGTTTCTTTAGCTATATTAAAATGTTAACTGCTCAGATTAGATGGAACTGCAAAGTGTGCACAAAATCTGCAGTCATTTGATTCAGCTGGGCTCTGTGCATGTATGCAAACAAACTTCATTTAAATAAAACTAATCCTACGTTACAATGCATCTACTGTATTTTTAAAAGAAGAAAAAGATGGGTATTTGGTGTCTTAACTTGTTTTTTTCCTAATTATATCATCTACCTGCCTACAAGAAGTTTTCTTTAAGAAGTCTTAATGCGTCATTGAAATATAAGCACATTTATATGTCTACTTGAAATGCATAGGAGGGGAAAAACGGGAGGGAAGCCTTCTCAAGAACTTTCTAATCACTTACCGAAATATAGGAGTATGACCAGGCTTTGGTTTGTTCCAAGTAAAGTGCGAAGGAACAGAAAGAAATTGGTCTCCGGGCAAATCTTTTTTCAAGGTGTGTTGAGATCCAGAGCAGTCATCTACTGCAGTTTCAAGGGATGTTGATAAGTTACCCTGCTCTTCAGGACAGATATCTATTTTTCCAGATAAAGTGGCAGTCTGATCCTCTGAAGTCTTTCTTGTTTTTAGAGGAATATCAGTCTCTGTACAACACTGAAACGGTGAAAGGCCAGAATTAAGGCCTTGTACGTTATGGATAGAAGTGTTTAGCCACGTGTCTTCTGTTATGCTTCCTCTGGGAGAATGGCCAGGTGATGGAGTTGGAGAATGGTGAGGAGAGAGAGAACCAGCATAGCAAATCTCAGCACTGGAGTGTCGTCGTTTCCCACAGGGGGATGTAGGTCTTGATGAGGGCCTTGATGTTGGTCTAGGGCTTAGCCAATTTTCATCTGTAATACTAGTTCTAGGAGAATGACAGGGAGACTGCCTAGGTGACAAGGCATGCCCAAATCCATAAGGTTGCTGCCAAGATTCATCACTGGGACCTCTCGGAGAACCACCAGGAGATGCCAAAGGAGAGCCAAGGGTAAATCGAGCGGCTGCTTCATTTAGCTCTGAGTCCACATCATCATAAACATGGGAAATGGATTCACAAGAGGAAGCATCTGAAAACCAACTTCTGGATGAAATGCTGCTGGCAGGGCTTGGACTAAGGGATGATTCCCTATATGATGGCTCAAGAGGAAGATAGAGATGGTCCCGTGAAGGCCTTTCCATATACTCATTTTCTGTACCATTTGTGTGCAATTCATCTTCATCAGCTTCAATCCCTTGATGACAGTTAGGTGAAATAGATGTAATTTGAATACTAGGGCACTCAAAGGGTTTGGGTCCACCTAGTGGGCTATATTTGGATTCTGGTACGTCACAAGTTCCTTCATAGTTCTTATGACTCTGAAGTCTCGTAGGTGGTGACAGAGGAGAGGAGTGAGACTGCAATCCATGGCGAGGAATACAAATTGGCTGATTTACAGAAGACGATGGTTGGTCTACATTAAAGATGTATATGGACGCACAGTCATCTGACTCAAGATCTGAAAACAAAATTAAAAAACAAAAAAAGAGGAACAGAGTCAGAATGCAATACTTGGAAAACACCATAAACAAAATCCTTTGTTTCCCAGGTATGGCCTGTTTTCAACATCCTAGACATTTCCCATTATGCCAGCCACACAAAATAAAGCTCATTCTTCATTTTTCATTTTCCCCAGCCATATTTACAGGTAAATATGACTGCAGCATAGTTTTCTATCATAAATCTTGTTTTCAACCAGATTCCGCAGTTTATACACGTCTTCAGTGGTTGAAAATATAATACACACAGAAAAGGGGTTTAAAATCTTGAAACGATCTAAGCTGGAACACTCAATTCAAACTATCTTTCATAACTACATTCCATTCATAATTAAACATTTTTAATCATAATCCATTAAAAATTAATCTTTTTTACATGAATAGGACCATGATACTTTCTGCAAGCCCACTAATACTTACAAGCACTGGAATATCGCATATATAGATTTATCTCCTTTAACACTAGAAAGCATCTTACAGCGACTCAAACGTCAATGAAGATTATAAACAACTAAAAACATTCAATCAAAAGAGGCCTAACAAAGAATATTATTGAAGATGATATGAAGAATCTTATTCCAAAGATCTTTTTTGGTTGCTTAGAAAACTCTCAAGTGCCCATCCCACAAAATAGGATTTTTCAAGTGCAGTCTCACAAAGTTTGAGCACAAGTTGTTCAGCATAAAAAAGGCAAACCAAAATATTCTCAGATCTCACTAACTTATCCAAAACACAGGAAATATTCCAAAGAAAAACAAGCAATTCAGAGGGACTGCAAATCCAGTTGACAAAATCAGCACCTTCGTCCCACAGAACTGAAGCAGATTTTCTTGCCCTGCTTCTCAAAATTGAATTAACTGCCAGTATGAAACATTTGTCTGAAACAAGAGTAGAAAACACAGGTTTTTTTCTTATTTTGTAACCACTATGCTTCCACTCTTGTTTCTTTCCCCTTGTAAAATAGAGCCTTCCCTCTATAATTATAGAAAGTAAGTATGCAGGAGACCTCAGGTAGTTCACTAGTCTATCATCTCCTAGCAGATGAAATTAAATGTACTTGGACCATCCCCACTAGACACTGAAACTAGTCTCAAAATCTATTAACAATGTTGTCTCTACAGCCTGAGTAATTTGTTTTAATGCTGAATCACTTTGAGAGCTTTTGACCCATCACTAACATTTAACATCATTAAAATTATACAGTTTCTAGTGCTTTATGTGTGGGTTCTTTTTTTTTTTTTTAAGTATTTTTTTCAGTAGTAGGGGAATATTATGCAGAAGTATAAATGTTTCTGCAAACTAAAATGCTCCTGTGTCAAATGTGACGATGAGACACATGTCTCGTACAATTATTTTCCATAAATCCAGACTGGATGACATTAATTGCATCTCTGGGCATTAGCTCTTTTTTTCTTTTAAAAATGGTTTTTGTCCTGAGTATCAGTAGAATGTTAATACTTGTTTTAAAATAAAACTAGTCTCTCTCACAATCAGATAAAATATCCAGACAGGAAGCCATGTATTTTAGACCTTTGCATGATGAAAAAAATTAGTATGTTAATGAAGACATTCTATTATCAGTTTCACTAAGAGCAATCAGCTTAAAATTTTTATGTGTGGGTTCTAAACAAAACAGCATCTCCTCAGAGACAACAAGGAAGCATTTTCAAATGGAGAGAAAGCATACTGTTACCAAGGAACGGATGATGGTCCTCAGACTTAAAAAAAGAAAAGGCTGAAGGTTCATGGGCAGGGAGCAGCTCTATTAGTAATCTATCAAAGGAGGCACAAAATTGCATTTAAGACTAGTACTAAGTAGTTTTATAAGCATTGTGTGATTTTATATATATTACATATAGTCATATACAACAATTATCCATATTTTATAATTATATCATTACTATTATATGTGTTAAGAGCACAAAAAAGAAATCGGTATAGGTTAATTTCTAAATATGCATACACTAAAAGGATCAAGATACTCAGGAAGGACTATTTGTATATCATACAAATAATTAACACAAGTTCACTACATTGAACACTGTCAAAGTTGCATTTCCCTATCCTTTCACTAGGATAACAAACATTTTTTAAAACTTTAATTGGGGGTCTTTCTTTCTGCTTGTTTCCCATCACAATACATGAAATGCAGACAGTCGTTAGTTACAGGTTTTCCACATCTATCAGTATATTCCTGTGCAAGATCACAGATGTCCTTGTTTCCTAACTCAATATTAGTATTAGAAGCATAGGTCAAGGGAGGAAAAAGGCAATCCTAATAAAAGCAATTACCCAGCTACTCAAAACTTCGATATAAAACAGTTACAGGTACAGAAACTTTGAAATAATAACAACAACTTTATAGGAAAACAACAGTTGGAAGTCTTCAAGTCCCGTGCGTAACCATTTACTGTCATTAATGGCTTTAGGAACAGTAGCAGCACATTGTTTGTGCTGAAACTCTCACCATTGCAAAAAGCTTTATTTCTCTTGCAGCAATAATCAAGAAATCTTAAAATATTTAAGACAATTTGTCCACTTTCAATGTCACTGGGATTTACAAAAAGCAGATGTACATTCAAAATTTAAGTTTCATGGAGCTGAGGTGGAGGGATCAGACTAGCACAGAGTTATCAACACTAGCTGGGAAGAACTGGAGAAGAGATGGAGAAGGCAGGAGAGAACTCTTTTGACTTGGGCTTCTTCGGTCCCTCTCCATGACAAACAACTTCCAATGAGTTTGGCACCGTGCTCTCCTATTACCCCTCCCCAGCAGCATACACGCACACACTCATAAACCAGGAAGCTAGAAACCTCGAGTAAGAACTATGCATCTAATGAACACCAAATCCTAAAAGCATGCTTAAGACTGTGGAAACAATGTATTTTGAACTCTAAATCACCCAAACCATTTTCAGACACAATCAATAAACATGTAGATTTATTTTAGTTTGCACACACAAACCCTCCCCCTTATAGTCATGTGTTAAAATAACCTCTTAGTTGCTCATACAAAGGACAACACTAAGACCTTTACAAATCATATCATTAATTCTACTAGACTATTTAGCAATAATTATTTTTGTCCTATTAAAGACTGTAAAGAGAATCCAATCTGGAAGAGCCCTCTAACCAATTTGAAGGAATGAGTAAACATACAAAGATGAATATAACTTGAGTGAAAGAAATAGGGAAAAAAGAAAGAAAAAGAAAAAAAAAAAAAGACAGCTGACAACGCTTAAGACAGAAAGGAGTGAGAATAGCTCAAAAAATCCAACTCAGGGCTTTAAGAAAGCAGAGGGTAAACAAACTCAGGGAAGTCTCACAATAGACAAGTGCAAGGCAAAGAAGAGTTATGGAGAAGCCCAAGGCAAAAAATGCAGTTATGGAAATCTGTTTACTTAATAGGAGAGCTATTACACCCAAACAATCCTACTGGGGGAGGAAAGACAGTAAAGAAGTGAAGCTGGCCAAGTCATGAGGCCTTCACTGACCATAAAATATAAGAAAGAAGCATTCAAGAAACAGAAACTAGGTCAGGTTACTAAGGTAGAGCATAAAAACTACCACAAGCACATGGGAGCAAGATGCTAGATAGGATAGACACAGCAAAATACAGAGACCAAGAGGAGCAGTGCTATTCACATCAAAAGCCTGCCATGACCCTGAAAAGGCAGGTGTGTTAAATGTTTTTTCTTTAGTAAAGTCAACTGAGTAAATTGCTAACAAAGTTAATAGCAATGCAGAGTAAAGAAAACTGGACTAAATAAAAGAAGGTTAAAAAGTACTGAAGAATTATGGGCCAATAAGTTTAACTTCAGTTTTAGAAGTAGTATTAATAGTTTATTTGTTCCAGCAAGCGTTTAAAAGGAGACAGTGAAACAAGAAGTCAATGTTTGCTAAGAACAAAACCACGTCAAACAAATTTTATTTTGCGATCAAAGGAGGTCGTCTTTGGGATTGCTAGCATAGAAAGAAACTCAGCTTTGTTTTAACTTATTTTAACACTACCATGCATGAAGAAGCCACCAAGTCTTTAGAAATTTAGTGAAGCCTTCTTCCCCACCTTGCTGAAGGATCACAAAAGTTAGCAGATGCTCTGTATTCACATAGTGCATATAAGCTATATAAAGCTGAAGACTTCCATTGCAATCTTACATCAGGCATGTGTGTCATCCTTTATCAATGAGAACCAGAAGGTCTGTCATTTTGAATGTACATTTGCTACCGTCTGGAAACAGACTAGTTTACAGAAGTTCCTGTTCAGTATTAAAACAATGCTGGCTCGTCCCCTACTAAGCTGCTAACTACACTTCAACATAAGCTGTCTAACTGGTGAATATAATTAAATAATATCCAGAACAACTGCTCCTAAAGTACATTTTGCTCACTGTTTACCATATCAAACTGCACATTCAGGACTAGTAATGCTTGCCCACCAGTTGTTCACTCCTCAGCGATGTACTGGCACATGCATATGTGCAGCTGTGCAGTGAGCCAGATTTCTCCACAGAAGGAAGGTCAATTACTATCAAATGTCTGAACACAAGCCCTGTGCCAAAATTATCCAAACCACATTATTATTCTATGTTTGTAAGCCCATAAACAAACAGGTTCAGACAATAGGAGTTGTTATAAGGTACCAAGAAAGTGCAACACGACCTAGGTCTTACAAAAATACTACCGCAAAAACAGGATCAGTAATCAAGTCCTTTAAATAGCATGAGGAAAGGCTTAAGCATTGCCACAGACATCATGTGTGTTCTCAGGCAAGTCATATAAGCTGTCTCCACTCCCAAACTTTAAAAAGAACGACAACCTCTTCTGTTTTTCAGTTCTGTCATGACAGTTACCATTATCTCTTTCTGAACATGATGGTATTATAAAGAATGCCACAGAAATATCTGTAAATAAGAATAAAAAAGCATATGCAGCTCCATTTTTTAACTTCATTAGCCTA